GCGTGGGGAAAATCATGTCGGGCGCACTATCAGACGTGGTCTTTGTGTTTTGGTTACTGATATTACGCCGGGCATGATCTGAGCACGCCGGGCGTGGAGACTCATTGAGAGTCTCTGTCTGGAATTGCACCGGGTGTAGGATAATTGCGTCGGGCGCTGAGACCTCTATAGGTCTCTGTTTGAGTTTTGCGCTGGGCGGGATATTAGTATGCCGGGCGTGAGTATGTTGGTCTTTAAGTCTTCATGAAAGTTGTAGCCTTGGATGTTAGCTTTCCAATGGCATTGAAATCACCCAAAAAAGAGGTCTAGAACTCCAGATATGACTGTTTTAGTGAACAGGGGTCAAGCTGTCAGCATTAGTTATAGTTGTTGCGGTTTTTAGAATTTTTAACAAACTAGATGAGGGAATCTTCTTATCTATCATATGAGATAAGTATGAGCATAATAGGAGTAGTATAACTCCTAATATGCTGTTTTATGTGAAGGTTGCCATTTTACAAGGAGTGATTTATTAGTTAAGTTGGCATGATTATGGAAAAGTTTGTATGTAATTATGTAATATGCTATGTGTGTTTGGTTTGGAAAGCTAATAGGACTTAGAGGAGTAAGGTTATGGTATGGATTGGGAGATCTCTTGGTGAGATCAGGATATAGTCTTTGGGAAAATATGGAATTTGGGAGTCCCATGGTGAGGATTCCAATACGGAACTTTTCCAAAGATTATATAATAAACCACTTCAAATGTTAGGTAGATTTTGAAGTACTCCTCTAAGTATTCTATTTGCTACCGGTATGAGGGCAAGGCCGAGTCATACCGATGGATGAAGTGGCCGCGATCACCAAGGTTACATGACGACGTAACCCAACTGTATATTTTCCATGAGAGGTTAGGTGTGTGACTTGGGCATGTGACATATTCACGAATTCAACACTTGGTTTGGATGTTTTGAGGTCAACATTTGATTTGTATGTGTTGGCTACTTCATGAGATTATACAGTGGTGTGACTTTGATTTGGATGTGGAATATGTATGCATTTAGTATGGATTGTATACATTGGTTATAGATTCTTTATTACCATAGAATATGTATGCATTGGCATGGATGTGTATACATTGGAAATTGGATTGGTTTATATTTGGCATGGAAATGACTTGTTATAATGTTGTCATTCCCTTGGTATGGATACATACTGTTGATGAATATCTAGTTTAATGATATTTCATTTTATTGTACTATGATTGATTTTATACGTGCTAACCCTTATATTTCCATGATGTGGACTATGATGATCTCACTATGTGGGGGAGTAGATCAGGTGTGAGGCTTTGGGATGGCAAGGAGTCTTTTGGGTAGCTGCTTTGAGAAGTGGCTAGTCTTAGAGCTTTACCAGCACCTAGGGTGTCTTATTTTGATACTTTCATGATGTTGTAATTATATTATCTTTTTGGATAATTGTATAACCTTGTTGAGGATGACTCTTTTATAAAATTATGTTTTATATTATGGAAACAATTAATACATTATTGTATATTTACACTCTAGTGTAACTGACCTTTGCTCTATTTTCTTTATTATATATTATTTTATTTTAGTTGTCATATTGATTGTTAATGTGACGGCCTAAGACGGATCGTTACACAATGTTTCATATACCTGTTGACATTTTATTTTGTATATCAATGACAGTGGTGTTTTTGTGTTTGCATCTGAAACAAATGTTTTCAAGTCTTTTCCCTTCCTACAAAAGTTAATATGTCATTTTAACATATATTGTATTTGTGTCTTTATTCAAGAACCTACAAAACAATGAATTCACTATTTAGTAAATATCATTGTCAAAGTATTAGTAAGCAAACAGAGCGAGAAAATGTATAGGCAATCAAGTATCAACTCTCAATAACAAAAGATTCAAAGTTTGCAAAACCTTCTCATTCATCTTTTTCTTTTTTGTTTCTAAATCTCCCAACCTTAATCCATCCACGTATTCTCAGGCAGCAAAGCAACACAACTTTACAATGAAACACACAACTTTACAATGAAATATATATATATATATATATATATATAAACTACTTTAAATAACTTTAAACAATAATCACACAAAAAAGAACCCTATCATCATCAAGAACCAACTCCAACGAAAAAGGGATATTTGGCTTGCAATGATTGAGATTGGACAAATCAGACACCAGCCACTAAAAAATAACCCTAACAATAATCTTCCAACTATGCTTTTGTTTTATAAATCTTTTCTCAATACTTATTTTATTTATATATACATTTTACAAATCACATGTTACTTATTATTAGTGTCAATATGGTTGGATCAAAATTTAGCAATTTAGATTGTTGTCATCTTAAGTAAATCTTATTCATATTTAAAAGCCTTTAAGTAATGTCTCTATACATGTTACTCATTAAAATCAATATTGACACTCCACATTGTTATTAATAACATATAACATATATATTACTATAAAGGCTATTAAGAATAATGTTGTGTCTTTTTCTAAGTAAATAATAATAATAATTATAATAATATAAAAGGAAATTTGAGTTTATCTGAGGTTGATAGGAGTTGAAGATAAATTAAGTGATTGTAATTTGCTTTTACTCCAAACTTTAAAAGGATTAGAACACCTCGTAATTGTTGTTAGTCTTATTTAATTTATGTTTCTTTAGAATGGAACTAACTCTAACCTTTATACCAACAACCATACCAAGTCCCAAAACTTTGGAATCTTGTCACACCAAATATTATTTAGGAATTATTACCATTTGTAAAGAAAAGTTTAAGCAATCGTAGGCTATCACTACACATGGTTCTTGGCAAATGCTTAGTCATACGATGTTTCTAGGCAAACAAATACTTGTACGCATGATTTAACTCATCAGAGTGATTTAGCAACCATGAACATAACGACCAATTTTATAATCTAATAAAGAAAATTGTTAACAATCAATTTTTAGTGACTAATTAAAGTGATTATGTGATACCCTTTACCTCACATATCATAACACATAATATAATAAATAACATGAAATACCTCAATATAATAAATAGACTCAAAATTCATACAGGTAAAAAGAATCATATTTTAACATAAATAGACTTAGCGAAAATATCAAATTAGGGAGAAAATAAAATCAACTATTCAATTTAAATAACACAAATCAAATCCTAACTAGTCCTAATTAATCCATGGACGTGTCTTATCAGAGTAAAATCCAATGTTGATGACTAGGCCTTATCACCGACATCTTCAACACCATGTTGGTGGTTACCTGCAAAAATTATAAGAAAACAAAATAAAAGAAAAAAGAGTGAGAAACATCTCACTCTAGCTCACAGTATAAGAATGCAAACCGACTAATCAAACACAAACAACACATATGACATGATATAACATACACAGTTACATATTATCATCATACTTAGTTCATCCACAACATAATAAACAACAACAAATATAATTATAATGTGTATGCAATGGACACAGACTACATATATTATCATGCATATGACACTAGTAAGAACATCACACTTGTGCATTATCACTAGCAACACACTAGAGTAGTCTAGGAGTATATGTCGGGTCACACCCTCTATACTCTCTCACTAGAAGAACACACTATCAGGGTCTGGTTGGGATAGTTAAGCGATGCAAGATATATGTCATGCTCATGAGGGTAGGATTAGGAATTCCAAATCGAGCTATCCTCAAGGTTGGTTTCCAAGCTTTTACACAAGGGACCTTCCTTGACAGTGTGTTCCATATCGCATCCTTTAAAAAAAACACTTTTATGCACATGATGCATGTCAAACAAACTCTATGCATAACATTGATCTCATTAATTCACTATCAATTGATCCCATATCATAAAAGCATCAACCATTCTCAATATAGCTATTAACAATTCAACTATATCAATTAAATGTTAACAATCAATGGAATAAGAGATCACATCACTATAACTCATAAATAGCTCAAAAGTATATCAATAGCACACTCACATACTACATTTACATAACTTAGTCTTCTACGATATCGCATGGTCCAAACACCTTAGTCAGAACTATATATATGTTATTAAGTTGATATTAATTTTATTAGAAATCCAAGACAATTATCTTCAACTTTTATGTTGACCTTAAGAGTTAAATAATTATAAGTCAAACTCAAAAATTACTAACACCGTCATACTAATTACATTAATCAAAACATACAAGGAGAAACAGAAAAAATAAAGACACATTTGGGAAAAACATCATCATACATAGACATACCATAAACATAGGATTGAGGGTTAATCCCACTACCTAACGTACATTCTCACACCCAAAGCAAGGTTTCTCATCCTCACACTCAAAACGAGGTTCTCATTCTCCCTTACCTGGATAAGCTCTAGATAATGGGTTCACGACTCTGGAGTGATTTCCTTCCAGCTTCTGTTCGACAAACTTTGAGGTGCGTACGTGAAAATAGAGACATAAAAAAATTTGATCAAAAAACTCTTCTTTTAAAAATCCTAACTTCCCTTTAACCCTCTAGTTAAAAATATTAACCCTAGTTATCTCAAGAATCCCTTCCCTTTTTAATAAAATATTATAATATTTTTTAATAAAATATCAGTAATATATTCTAAAATATATTACATAATTAAAATAAATATTTAACGATCCTATTAATAAAATAAAAATATCAAAATTATTAATAAAATACTTATATTATATTTTATAAAAAATGAAGTGTTATAGATTGATTTTATATTATTTATTTATTTAAAACAAAAAATTACAAGGTGTACATACATGAATATGTTGGTGTTTTAATGACAAAAACATTTATTATTAATTGCAAAATTACATTAAAGGTAAAACAGTAGTATACATTATTTTATGATAAAAAGGATAGTATTGTTTACAATCAGCCACCTGAATTCATGCAAAAGTGCATAAATAAGACGTTCAAGGAGTAATTTGAAATTTAGGGCATCAAACTTGAGAACAAAACAACTTATTTGTAAATTCTACAATACTTTCATAAGAACTTCCACCTTCACCAACGGCTCTTAAAGCCGAACTCTTCCATTGAATGGAATTACTCTTCATCACTTTGCCTTCCTCCAACTCCATTACTTTCTTTATACAATGCTTTAGTGTTTCTCTTCGCACAATCTTTTTCTGATCAGTCGGAGCTCTGATTCCAATTTTCCAAACATCTGCCATAAGCTTTGCGTTTGTAGTTTGATCTGACCAATATGGTATTGTAATTGTTGGGACTCCTAAACACAAAGTTTCTAACGTGGAGTTCCAACCACAATGTGTCACAAAGCATCCTATAGCCTCATGAGCTAAAACTTCTAACTGCGAGCACCATGTTACTACCAAGCCCTTTTCTGATTTCTTTTCAAAATCTTTGGGGAGCTTATTCTCTTCAGAGGCTCTAACCACCCACAGAAAATAACTCGAACACTCCCTCAAACCATAAGCTAATTCCTCCATTTGCTCTCCACCAAACATAGCTAAACTTCCGAACGATACATAAACAACAGATCCTTTTGGCTTATCATCAAGCCATTCTATGCATTCTTCACTTTTGAATTGTGCAGCACCATAATCATGGTCATCCTTGTATCGCTTGTCCAAGAACATAGAGGGTATGTTTGGTCCAATGTTCCTAAATTTTGGCCAAATTTTCGTGATCCAATCTGTTACCTAAAGTCAATTTCTGGTCAGCAATCATCACATGTGCTAAAATGAACCAAAACTAGAGGTTTGATTGATCATGCAACAACTTGAAATTTTAATATTTTGAATCAATTACGTATTTAAACTAGTTCGATTCTCTGCCTCTGAAGCCACTCTTTTAATGAAATAACAACATATGAATTGAGTGCTAATTTAAATGCTTTAATACATTATTTGGTTTCTAAACTTTTTTTTTTTTTGAAAATTCTTAATTAGGTTTATAAACTAAAAATTTGTAATTGGATGATTCATCTTTTTATATTTAGTTCCTGAAATTAGAGGTTTTTTTTCCTAATATTTAAATACTCACCTAATATTGTTATTTTATGTCATCATCTATATATGATATTAAATTTAAATTTCTATCCATAAAAATTCTAGTAATCTCTCTAATAAAAAATATTAATTTAGAATAGTATCAAATTTAATATGTAATGATTAAAACACGATACACATAGAAGATGTCATAAAATAGTAATATGAAGTACTTGTCCAAATACAAAGATACACTAGGACTAAATTACAAAAATATTAAAAGATGTAGGATCCAATGACAGCATTTTTTAGTTCAAAAACTTAATTAGGAATTCGCAAATAGTTCAAAGACTAAATAATGTATTAAAACTTTAAAATTTAACCATAAAAATGTATTCAACTATATGTATACAAATCAGTTTCTTCTTAATTACCTCTTTGTCCAGCTCGTAGAATGAATTGCATAGAACCCAATCAGCTTTGTCTAAATTGGAGAACTGATCCACAAAAAAATCAAGAATATATGGCTGTTCTACATACGAAAGGAAGAAAGAAGGCATGTCCTCAAGCTGAAGTTTAGGCAATGCAGGAAGGGAAAACTCATGTTGTGTGAGGGGAACTTGTAGGTTTCCCAAGTGAACATGATAGTATACACTATTGACACTCATATTTTGTGTGAGGAAAACAGCCCCCATTATCCCAAATCTCTTGGCAATATCTAGTGCCCAAGGGAAGAATGAGTCATAAATAACACAATCAACATGGTTTTTTGATTCACAAAGTTTCTCAAGAAGCCCAGCAAAACTCACTGGCCCAACTTTCCAAAAGCGATCCAAATAGGCCCTGTAGCTCCCAGCCTCTGTGAGCCCACCTTCGTCAAACCCATCAGAGATGGTTTCAAGTGCAATAGAAGGTGGCACTTTTTGCAAGTTGTTGCAGTAGAAACGAGTGGTGACAAGTGTTATTCTCACCCCTTGATGTTCCAATAGCTTGGAGAACTGAATCATGGGATTTATGTGACCTTGAAGTGGATATGCTAACACCAAACAGTGTGCACTCTTAGCTAGGTTTTTCTTCTCCATTTCTCTTGAGAAGCTAATGGTGAGGGTGAGTGTAATGAAAATAAAGAAGGGTTGACTTTATATACGAATAAACAATAATTTGTAGACGGCCAATAATTAATGTATCAAACAAAATTAACCCTAATTGGTGTCGCCGGCTGAACGAAAATTCATGGCAGTAATAAAGAATTTGTAGTTGCTCAAATTGGATTTGTCTTGGCTGGATCAAAATTATATTTTAATAATAAATTAATTGTAGATTCATGTTCATTAGTGTAAAAATCACTTTTAAAATCGGGGTTTTAAAATCGGTTAAAAAGTAACCAATTTTAAAAGTGACGCGGGGTGACAATTTTGTAAATAATGACACTAGTTTTTAAATTGGTTAACTTTTAACCGATTTTAAAATGTCTCTGACATTACTTTTAAGATTGATTATTTTAGAACCGATTTTATATGTAGTATACAAAATCAATTTCTAAATGATCGATTTTAAAAAAGCTACTTTTAAAATCGGCTATTTAAAAAGCGATTTTGTATACTACATACAAAATTGATTCTTAAATAACCAATTTTAAAAATTATGTACTCAAGGAATAAACTCGATCACTCTTTTCACTCTTGTGCGTGCTCTGTCGTTTTCGATCTCTCATCTCTTTATCTAGGCCTGTCGTTCTCATTTCTATCAGGCCCTCCATTCTTTCCTTTACTCTCTCACGCTCTCATCAACTCTGTTGTGGCCATAAAAGTCAAGTTTCTTCATATAGAAGACCTAGTCTCTAGCATCTCATTCTCTTTGCAAGACTATCTCAAGGTAACAACCACGTTTCTTTGTTGCTTTATTCTCTATGCTGACCTACATTCTCTATTGTTATGCTTTTCAATCTTCATCTTTAGGTTATGTCATTTTGTTATTAGCTATTTTTTCTTTTTTCTTTCATTCCTCTTGTTGCTTGCCTTTGCATTTTGTTTTACGAAAGAGGCTTTTGGAAAAAATGAATTGGGAAAACCTTAATTGCAAGTATCGAGAGGCAATACCCTTAATCTCTATGAAGATTAGAAAGAAGCGCATAAAGAAGTTCATGTGCCCCAAAAGTGATCGCGAGATCTCCGCCAAGCCAAATTTGGTGTGGACCAAAGGGTATGGACTCTCGTGTTAGAAGAAAGTTGAAGGGATGCAGTTTAATGCCCAATATTTGTTATGGTTTACAAGAAAAAACGCCATTATTTACCTAATGGTTTCAAGAAATTTGTTATGCACAATGTGAAAGACTTGGAACTTCTTATGATGCATAACAAGACGTACTGTACTAAGATTGCTCACAATGTGTCCACAAGGAAGAGGAAATGACATAGTTGAAAGAGCTATTTAGCTTGATGTTGTTGCGAAAAACAAAGCAGTCAAGCTTCATAGCTAGGAAGATGAATAAATCCCAATGAATGGGAGTGATATTTATGTTTTGTAGTGAGTTATGATTAACACCCTATATGGTAGCTTTTGATTATTTTTGTTATTTTCTTGACCAAATCTTGTTTCATGTCATACATTTTTTATGTTTCTTATCGCCTTGTTGTTGCAAAAATTTTCACCTAATTTTGAGTTTAAAAAATAGTTGAATTAGAAAGAGTAGTGATATTTTGTAGATATTTTTTTTAAGTAGTTGTACTTATAGATAATTTTTTATGTAGATAATTTATAATATATTTTTTATGATGCTTATTGCCATTACTACTAAAATTACCATTACTACTAAAATTAATTTTTATATTCTTTTTATAGTCTCATAAGCAAAAATGAAATTATGAGTGCAAATACTATGTAATGAAGGCAATGCATACTATTGTTGATTCAGAAATAGTAATTGGGTGGCCTGAAGTACGTTTTGGAATTTTAAAAATTTTTATTTTAAGTTTTCATTTTTTCATATGTTTTATGAGTTACTTCTAATTGTTCTAAATTTTCTTAACAAATGTTTACAGATCAATCACCATTGTCGCTAGAAGACATAAACACCATTAGGGAGCAATGTGCTACATTTATCATTGAAACATTGACTAGCTAGGACTTATGTTTATAGTTTTACTCATTTTGTAGTTTAGGATGCATAATAATTTGTAAGTTATTTAACTTATTATGTACAAATTTATGCATTACATGTATTTTAAAAACATTTTGATTATATATATGGTTGAAATTTACCAACTCTTGTCATTTGTATGTAATTTGGTCCATTGAAAACGTATGAATTATCTGATATTTTATTAATTTGCAGGTTTTGTTTAGGGATCCTCCTAAAACAAGTCAATTATTTTAAAGCAAATTAATCACTTTTAACATCGATGATGTCATAATCGATCTTGAAACCTGGACTTTTAAAATTGGCTGCTGCATGACTGATGTTAAAAGTTAGACTTTTAACATCGGTCATTGACCAATGTTAAAAGTTCAACTTTTTAAAATCTGTTAAAGAACTGATTTTAAAAATAAAAAAAATGATCAATTTTAAAAGTATTTTTTTCACTAGTAGTTTATGAATAAAAAAAATCGTTTAAAGTAAGCTGGTGTCTTAAAGTGAATAAATAAATAACACACTGATCAATAGAGTTGTTTAAGTTTACTAGCTAATAGTTTTTGAATTTCAATTCAAGTATTGAATCAAATGCGTTAAAAGTTTTAAATAATTTTTTTCCTGTATTAATTTTATTAATTTTACTTGAACAAGATTGTTTAATAATAAAAGAAAAACAAGTTAAATTGACAGAAATAAATGATGCTCATTACTAAGGTAAATATGACTTCCAGTCACTTATTTCTTTTGAGAATTCATCGTAAAAAGTTTCCTTACTTGAATTTTGTGATTTCAAATGATGATTAGTTGTAACACATGCATTTTTGAATACTTTCATTTTACCGTAAGAGAATATGTTTTCTGTTCGGTGAATATTCCTATATACAGTAAATAAAACCTTTCTCATCTCAACATATAACACGCATTAAAAACAACCGGAAAATAAAGATCCAAATTTGATATATCATATTAAAAAAGCAAATTGAAGAAACTACTAGCCAATTAATTTGAGTTCATGACATGGAAGTGATTTGTAATTTAGGACATAAAGTTTACGAATGAAATTAACAACTTATTTACAAATCCTAAAATAATTTTATAAGAACTTCCACCTTCACCAATAGCCTTTATTGCCAAAGTAAAGTCTTCCACTGAATGGCATTGCTTTTTATCTTTTTCCCTTTCTCACTCTTTATCATCTCCATTGTACAGTGCTTTAGTGCTTCTCGCCTAAGAATCTTATTGACATCAATTGGAGCCCTAATTCCCATCTTCCAAACATCTTCCAAAAGCTTTGCATTTGTGTTTTGATTTACTCAATTTGGTATTGTAATTTTGGGGAATTTTAAGCATAAAGTTTCCAATGCGAAATTGCAGCCACAATGAGACGAAACATTCTATAGCCACATGAGGAAGAACTTTTAGTTAATTGGGAACACCATGCAACTACGAAACCTTTTTTTTTTTTTCCTTCTCAAAATATTTAGGTAGTTTATTTTCTTCAAAAATTCTAACCACCTACAAGAAATAACTCAAATACTCTCTCAAACAACAAGCTAGTTCTTCCATTTGCTGCTCACCAAAGGTAATCATACTCCTAAATAGAGCTGTCAAAATGGATTTGGCCTGGTGAGCCAACCTGGCCCACCACGGGTTCAAGCTGGGTTGGGTTAAATTTTTTTTTAAAATTTTAATACGGGTCAAATTTGAACCCGGCTCACTAACAACCCAGCTCACCCGAGTTGAACTTGTGGTGAGCCGGGCTGGCCCAACAACCCGTGATTAAATTTTTTTTAAAAAAAATACAATAATTATTGGGCCATAGTGTAGCCCAACATGAGACAATAATGATTTAATGTTGGATTGTTATTTGTAATTTTTATGATTTTGGATTGTATTTGAAGTTTAAGATGATTTTGGATTATATTTAAAGTTTAAGATGATTTTGGATTATATTTATCTATTTGAGATTATTTAGATTTGATTTGATTGTATTTAAAATTATCATTTAATGTTTGGGATGAATGATTCATTTATGGATGTCTTAATTAAGAATCTCAGATTTTTAAAGTAAGTTTAAATTTTTGGGCTTTAGTTGTATATTAAGAAGAAAAAAAATGAAAATTTTTTTTTTTAAAGGTGAGCCAACCCGTTTAACCCACCAACCCGTGGTGGACTGGGCCGGGTTCGATTTTTTTGAACTCACTGATAAATGAGCCTGGTTGAGTTGGCCCACCAAATGGTCAACCCGTGGTGGGCCGGGCCGGGCCGGGCCGGGTAGCCCGTTTGACAGCTCTACTCCTAAACGATAGATAAACAATTGACCCTTTTGACTTATCATCTAGCCATTCTATGCATTCTTCACTCTTAAGTTTGTAACTTTATTGTTCATCTTCACATCCATTATCTAAGAAGAAAGATGGTATATTTGGTACTATATTGTCTTAAATTTTGGCCAAATCTTTATAACCCACTATCTATTGTAAAATTAATTGTTAGTCACTAAACATTATATGCATGCCAAATTGGGGAAATTAAAATTATATTTATAGAGTGGTATATCAATTAAAAATATATAGTTAATTATTATATAAAAAAAAGTGAGAACTATAAATATGAGTCACACTTTATAGATGGATGATTAAGATTAAAAGCTAAAAAAATAAATATATGCATGATCACTTTAAAAAGTTTTGTACATTAATAGATCTTCCTAATAGGTTTAATATATTTTTTAAAGGACCTAAAGTATAATATTTTTAACTAAATAGATTTTAATAAAAGTTTTGGTCTAGCCTATTTTCTAAAATAGTATTGCTTGGGCTAGAACTAATGTAGGGTAGGTTGAATTCTGTTGAGTGGCCTCACCTATTTACATCCCTAATTACTCTAACACTCATTGAACATTACATTGTGTGCCCTTTTTAATTATTTGAAAAACATTTCAATGTAACCTTATTAGA